TTTTTTTTTTCTGGAGCAAGTAAAACCAGTTCAGCTTTTGATACCAGTAAACGCTAATTTACACTGATAGGTAATGAATGATTGCTAGCAAGTCTAAAACTTTATTTAAAATTTCTCAATGAAAAACAAGAATTAACCTGAGCTTTTTTTAGCGCAAATCAAATTCATTCCAAATACGACCTGTTAGTATGGTTTGAAATTTGCGAATTGGCTAACAATGGTGAATATGTACCAGCAATTGTGGATCATGCACAAGGTATTTCGTATACAGTCCGGGTCTAGTTGTATTCTGCTTTGCTTTGTTTAATAGTAATTTCAGTTAATCTAATAAAACTGCATGCAATGCTAAAACTGCTTGAATCATTTTTGGTGGTTCAGTGATTGATGATTACGCTGTTTAGGATTACCAACACATGGAGTATTTCTGTTACATCAAGGTATACAGCGTCGTATAAAAATTACACTGTGCCACGAAAAGGGTGATGATTTGAGATGGAGAGATTGCCAGGAACTTGTTGTTGGCAGAATTCGATCGACACCTGAATGGGCTGGAGAAGACGTCGATGTACTGTCGTTAGGGTTGTTTCCGGGGACTTACCTTGAATTTGCCACAGACGACAGGTTTAAAAGAGAAATTGAATTAATTTACCTTTATTTTTTTCTCAAAAGCTGTTTGGCTAAAGTACTGTTAAAAAAATCTTTGTGATCTGATTCTTGGTTAGTTTAAAACATGTTTCAGCCACTTGTTTCCAGGGTATTCTTTCAATTTGAAGCAGCTTGGGATAGTTCACTGCACAACTCACCGTTATTAAACCGAGTGACGAACTATGGTGAACAGGTCTATATGACAATGTCAGCATACATACAAATTGAGAACAGTTCGGAATCTGCTGTTATAACGAAAGATTTATGTTTAATGATATACGCTAGGGATTCAAAAATATCAGCTGCTAGCAGGTTAGTGAACATAAGTGTATTTCATCAATAAAAGTGAGCGAAAATGTTGAGTGAATTATTATTAGACAAAATTTTTTCAAAGTAGAAATTGAAAGCAAAGTGTTTTTACAGATTTTGTCGTTCTTTAATTGGTGGTATTAGCAAAAGTCCAGAAATGAATCGTGTGCCCGGGGTTTATGAACTGACCATGAAAGAGTCGTTGGATATTGGCAGTCCGGGTAAATCACCTGTTTCACATCTGCTGTTATTATCACTTCCTACTTCATGTTACCTATTGTCACAATAATCATCTTTCAAGTATTCTTCGTCTATTTAGGCATTTTGAAAGCAACTTCTGTGTCTGTGCCTGTAGTGTTGACTGGCTATTTTAGGGGCTATTCGAAGGCAGAGGAGAGTGTTGGACACTTCGTCTGCGTACGTGCGAGGTGAGGAAAATTTAGGCTTATGGCGCCCTCGAGGCGATTCCTTGATTTTCGAACATCAATGGGAACTGGAGAAATTGACCCGCTTACAGCAGGTGAAATATTCAGCTGAAAAAATATTTTACTGCACTTTTTATAGTATTTAAGTAATTAAGCGACAACAATAAACAGGTTTCAAAAAAACAAATATTTTTGCAGTGAAACTAATGAAATTAATTAAATGCAGGTGGAACGAGTCCGTCTCTTTTTACGCCTTAGACAGTGTCTGAAAGGCAAAAAGACAAAAGATGACGGCGAGATCAAAACTCCGTTGTCTCCAACAAAGCCAAAATGGCCTATACCATTTAAAGTGGAGCTGTCTGAACGAGAAGCGAGCATTGCACAAAAAGTTATACAGCTGATAAAACGCAAAGTTCCAATGAACAAAGAGCCACCAACAGGAAAGGTAATAAAATAATGTGGATATAACTGCACATTACAAATGGATTTATAGCGAAAGAGTACCACAAGATTTTAAGTTTTTTGCTTTTGCCAGTTGCTACATTTCACTGAATAAGGGAATGAATGTATTGATTGTATTTCCAATACTACTGCTGCTTGATTACCAAGTAAAAAAGCTCAAAAAACCTTAAAAAACTATCAAGGGTTCATAAACTTTTCAATTTTGTAGGAATTAAATCAGGGTGATCAGACTTCGTCTCTTGGTGAAAGCATAGCGACAACTTCTTCTGAAAAGAACGAGTCAGTTAATTTTAATGTATTGATAGTGATATTTATTACACGTAATGATACATGTCGTCATGACTTACTTGATACTAAGCAGTACAGCTGTCGTCCATTTCGATAAATGATCTTTAATGAACCTATAGTTGTCTACGTTAAAGATGTGTATGACATATTGCAGGAATCTGATGACCACATCAACCTCAGTAGAACAGTTGAGTAAAGTCAGGTCGAAATCAAATCAAAATTTGATTCTTAGTCCAGATAGCTGCGATGTGGATAGTGGTATGAAACGTTCTATGAGCGCTAGTCGAATCTCTCAGTTTTCG